AAGGTCACGGCACGGGCCTGGTTTAATGGCGAGTTTAGTGATCGCAGAGATGCCCTCATGTCATAAACAATGTATTTAATTTACAGCCCATTGCCAATCCACTGCCGAATGAAGAAAGCCTGACATGTCGTACGTGGGGGGTTGTTTGACCGTACTTTCCCATTCTGGTCCATGCCGGTTGTTCGTATTGTGCAGCGACCCCGGGGACTGATTCGGAAATCGCTCACCACTGATGTTTGCCGTGGCCTGGAGTCAAACCGGGGTCGCCAAGGCTCGTAGCGCGGTGCGCGCTCGCCACCGTGCCGCGCCCCTCCACCCCCCTTGCTTGCTACAGATGGAAAGTTATAAATATTTAGATTTTTTTTTTTAGTTGAACGTGGAGACCCGGAACGGACCCAGCGGCTAGCGCAGTGACCCAAGCGGCTGGTGCCGTGATTCTCACACTCTGCGCCGTAGCGTTCCTCTACATTTACCCGCGTCCTGATCCACCCGTACCAATGCCCTCATTTGTTTCCAAGATGACCGGCAGCTTTGCCCCCTTGGGTGGGTGGAGGTGTGGGGAGTGCGTCTTACTTTCATGGCGAGATGTTAACTACCTCGCCTGGTATGCAGGAAGTCGTGGGTTTGATCCTGACCCTGACGCCTGCTGCTGTATATTTGGAGTTTGCGTGCCTCTCTCTCTCTCTCTTTTTCTCCCCGTAGTCGCTTGTTTTTTTTCTCCGGGCCCTCCGTTTTTTTTTTCCACTCCACATTTAGAATCAAGATCACGCGTTTAGAGTATGTGGCTGCTATAAATGTCCACGTGATGATGATGATGATAAGCCCACTTCGTTGAGCTATCATTCGTAATAGCCAGGTCCACTTCTGAAAGAGAAGCTACGCAAGCTCAGTGGGCCCTTACCTGGTCAAATAAAAAAAAATTGTTCAGTTTTTTTGTTTACTTTCCAAATAATTGGTCGCCCTCGTTCTTGACTATAACACCCCTTCGTTAGTATCGGTGATGTTGCACGTCTCCGTGACTTCTCACCAGCCTCGGTATAATTGACCTGTTTGCTTAAACAGTGAAACTTGGCACAGTGCCACGTTACTAAATGGTTTTCCCAGCCAACCTGAATTACACCTCACGAAAGGTTAAGCACTTGCCAGTTTCGTTTGACTTTATCGGCCTTAAAAAAAAAACTTAATTTTATTACTATTATTATCGTAAGGTAAAAAATATACATCAACCTTTTCATTACCCTGACTTTTGGGTCGTATTATAATTTAATGAAATATCAAGTTTCGGCGCTTAAAATTGTAACGAATTATATTTTCAGGCCTTTGTAAATGTGCATCCGAATGAAGGCCTCTTGCATCCCCTTCACACCGAGTCTGTCAAGTGGGTTCTTTGACCATACTTCACCACGCTGGGTAGTGCGGATTTGGTTACGCGATCACCCGGCCACCGATGTTAGCCATTGTCCAGTAACCGAACTCAGATCGCATGGGATCATAGTGAATAAAGCATTTGCAAACATTAACAGTTGCAGCTTACCACGTGATGCATTCAATTCAACATCGTGTAGGTATATGGGGAGCAGCCCTGCTTTGTACCTCGTGACTACAGTTCCATTTCCGTCCACGGCTAACGTCAGTGGCGAGAGATATCAAAACCGGCCCTGGGTCCTCCCCTAGGTCGACTCAGCCTCAGATGAGGCAGTGTGCACGTGCACGTTCGCGCGCGCGTGTGTGTGTGTGCGTGTGCGTGAACATCAGCGGCACCGGGGAGACAGACGTGAGCCCGGCGTGCTCTAGGCAACACGAAACGCATGCGCGTCGTGCCGGCCTCCGTGAGCACTTGACCCAACACAACACGTGGCTATACGGGGGATCTTCGTCTTTTGTGCCCCGCCCCCACCCCCACCCCGCGTGCGTTAGCAGTGCAGTGTATCGCCCCGCTCGATGCGTCGCTGCTCCGAGTCGGCGAGGTCACGCGGCGTTGAATGGGGCTCGTCTCTGCGTTGCTTCCCATTTAAAACGGCGATTAATAAAACGCGCGAGCAGGTCAAGGCCCTCTAGCGCGTTTGCTCGAGCGCCCGAACCTCCTTTACTCTTCGCGCGCGCGTGTATGTGTGTGCATGTGTGTATGTGTGTGTATGTGTGTATGTGTGTGTATGTGTATGTGTGTGCATGTGTGTATGTGTGCATGTGTGTGTGTGTATGTGTGTGTATGCGTGTGTGTGTCATCTCAGTCAGTCGACCCGTGGCACCTGGGTATGCCCCGTGACCTCCTGCCAGCGGGCGTTCGACACTTCACGTGGCCTCAAGGTGCACATGGCCTGGCACAAGCGTCGTGGTGACGTCACCGCCACTTAGTGGCGAATGGCGGTTGTTGTTGTGTTTGTGTGTATGTGTATGTTTGTGTGTGTTGTTTGTATGTATGTGTGTGGGTGTGTTTGTGTCTGTGTGTTTGTGTGTGTGTTTGTGTATGTTTGTATGTGTGTGTGTGTTTGTATGTGTGTGTTTGTATGTGTTGTTTGTATGTATGTGTGTGGGTGTGTTTGTGTCTGTGTGTTTTGCGCGCGTATACAATTTGTTGACGTCCTGCCGGACATCTGTGGGGGGTGGGGGGGGGCGGAGAAAAAAAAAGCTTCGTAGCTCATCGGATTCCTCCAGTATAAATAAATAAACTATTCCGATTCGCCTCCGTGTGTGCGAGCGTGTACAGCGGGCGGTTAACCCTTCTGCGTTAGGCTCAAATGATGTCAACAAAACGCAAAACAGACGCACACGGGCACACGCGGATGGAGCGATCGCGAGTGTGAGATGACTGGAAATGTCTCCTACGAGCTCAGACGTTCAGGAAAAACGATCGAGGGGGGGGAGAGGGCGACACCCCCCCTAGATTTAGAACCCGCAAAAGCGTTCAAACGTGGCACGGCGATCATAATTGTTTTTGCACGCGCTGCTCGTAAGCACATGCTGGTACCGCCGCCAAAGTGCGAGGAGTAACTAAAATCTCAACTCCGCATCGAGCGTTCAATACGATGAGGGTGGAGTGGGGTGGCAGGGGTGGGGGGGGGGCAGTGGGGGGGTGGCAGGGGTGGGGGGGGCAGTGGGGGGGCAATGAAGGGGGGGGGGTGTTGGGGGCACTGCCAAGCGGTGTCCCTGGGATTGTGTACGGTTTGGCAATCATCTCAGGTCGGAACATATCTGGGGATTTTTGTTTTGGACAACGTTACATTGAAATGCGTCATCATCATCATCAATATTACAACGATAATAATAATAATCACGATAGTTTACTTACTCATCCAGGAAGGGCCGCACTCGTTGTCCCCGTGGGGTTCCTCGACGCACAAAAAAGCGGCATCCGTAAGAAGCTCGCGAAGGAAGGCTGCGTTCATTGGCCAGTGTGCGTTGCAGCCAGCGCGTTTAACCCCCTGCCCTCCCCCAGCGATGATTAAATCCCAACTGCCGTATCGGAATCGTGATCGGAAATCAACCAACGCCACTCCGGAGCGCTTACGGTCACGGCACTGCGTAACTCGCGCTGTGACAGGGAATGCTCCCCCCACTGGTGCCCACCACCCCGCTCCTGCTGAAGATGACACTACAGAACTACTTGCGGAGTCACTTTCAATTGTCCTCTCTCACCCAACACTGGAGGGCGCACGCTCATTCTCACTCAGCAGAGAATATTCCCGGCGCGTCAATCACCCGATAGATTTTACGTGACGTTACCCGCTATCAATTTATATATATATTATTTTAAGGCCGCGGTGTTATTGGCAAACGTGTCGAGTTTATTTCAATAACATTTGAGAGAGACGTTCACCGCGACAGGATTGTGGGGACCAAGGGGTGAGAAAAATGACCTCTCTTAGCTGGCCGGAGAGCCCGACCATCACCGATGGTTGGCTCGGCGTTCTGAAACGACCATTCGGAGCCTCTCGCGCTCGTGTGCGTCAGCCCCGATATAACCGCAGTCTCCGGATTACAGGACGCACCACCACAGCTCACGTTGGAAGAGAACGCGTCACGTCATTCCAGGTGGCAGCGTACTCGCACGTAACCGGGTTTTTGTAACTTTGATATGGCGCGGGGCGGAAAGTAACGGCGGCGCATGGTGGGGTGTGGGCGCACTTCTTATTACTTAAAGGAGTGTCTTATAATTCGGAGAATTACAGGAAAACTTTCGTAATGTCTCGGGGTGATACCTGCACCACTTTCAACAGCAGCAGTGCCACTGGCACCTGGTGCGAACATAAGAGATTGTGCTGAGGAGCCAAGTCGCAACATTTACAATCCGAGTACGACGTTTCGCCAGCAATTCCAGCTAGCTTGGTCAGGCGACAGCCAGATTTGTGGAGAAGTCCACCCGTTTCAGGTGTTTCAGGTGGATTTCTCCACGAATCTGGCTGTCACCTGATGGAGCTGGTTGTAATTACAGGCGAAACGTCGTACTCGGATTGTAAATGTTGTGGCTTGGCTCTGTACTGTACTAGTATACTACACAATACACTACACTACTATACACTAGTGCTGTACTAGTGACGAATTGGCCACGTTCTGTTTACGTGACAACCCTTACTAGTTGGCTGTGTCGGGTGGTGGCGGGTTTAACAACACACATTTATATATTTACGTGATCTAACACAATAAACCTCCACTGTGGACAGATTGTGCTCAAATTTTTTAAACGTTGTGGGTTTACTCTGAAACACTCGGGTGTGCTGAACTACGTAACGAATTGGCCACGTTCTGTTTACGTGACAAACCTGATCGATTTGGCCGTGTCGGGTGGCGGGTTTTTTAACGACGCGCTTTTATATTCACGCGATCCAACCCCAAAAGAGAAACCTCTATTACGGCGAATATATATATTACGCTCGACCGTACCGTGTGCGCGCTTGTGTGCTCGTGCGTGCATGCGTAGTGACCTTCTCTCGCACCGCCACGTAGCGGTGCCGAATGTCGTTTAGCTCTGCGAGGGGGGGCGCGTCCTGAGCTGCACTAACCTTCTGAATCGTGGCAAAATGAGCGGATCCAAAGGATTTAACGCGAAGGGGCTGTTGAAAAGGACAACAGTTCAGTGTAAGTGCCGAAACACAGAGGGCATGATAATAATAATACTAGTAGTAGTAGTAATAGTTAACGTTATTTTTGTATAAGCGCACATAATTTACGTGATTAAGCAGCACAAATTATAACGATGATAAAAAAATGACCACGGTAAATTTAACAAAAAACAACGCGCCATAAATAAACCTCACACAATGCAATTAAAACAATGATTATAATGCAAAAATATGAGGACAAATGAAACACGTGCGGTGGAGTTGTAAGACAGGCGCGATGCTGGGTCTCTCAAGGGGACGGTGGATCGTCTGTCTATGCGTGATGTGCGTAGAGTGACCAGAGTGGTGAAGTATGATCAAAAATCTCCCCCACCCCCCAACGCTCACCCCTCCCCCCCCCCCATATTATTTGGCTGCTGCTATCAATTCCCACGTGATGTTGAACGGTCATTCGTGATAGCCAGGTCGCTTCTGACATAAGCTCAGTGGGGCCTTACCTGGTAAAAAAATAAATTAAAGAAATCCATGGAGCGGTGAAATTGGCTCAAGGACAATTGCACGATGGATTATTATTGTTGTATTATTGTTGTTGTTATTGTATCGCAAGAGCGCCGATACCGAAAGCTCGCGACGCAAGCGTAGTAAAATATGCGCGAGCGTAAGTATCACGTACGATCAATACGTACACGTTGTAGGCAATGGGGTTGCGAGACTACCCTGCAGCCACTAGAGGCCGCTACAAATCTCATCGCAACATCCATTCATGCCAAACGGCAAAAGGTAAAATCGATGTTCGCACGGCAGATGCTTAAGTATTTTATTTCTCAACAAACGGTAAAAAAAGAAGCCTACTCTCTGCGCACACGTTGCCGTGGCTCTGCCGAAATTTGAAAATAAACTCAACTATTTTATTTTACCAGGTGAAGCCCGCGGAGTTCTTCGCTATTTTGTCCGACGTGACCTGGCCACACACGATAGCTCGTCGCAGTGGCCGATGACGATATCACGCGGGAATTTATAGCCGCAGCCAAACAAATCTCAAAGCGTGCCGATTCTAAATGTGGAGGGAGATGAGGGCCTAAACCCAGATGAACCCGTAGTCAGATCCACGCTACGACCACCACGGGGGGGGGGGGGGGTGTGAGAGAGAGAGAGAGTGAGAGAGACATCACACGGGACTCCAAACGTGCAACAACAAGGCATCGCCAGGGTCAGGGATCGAACCTACGGACCTCCTGCGTACCAGTCTAGTGAGATCACATCTCCTGGCCACCACGGCGCCCCCTAAGCTCATGACAAGACGTGGCCTCTGAATGCAGAGGGGCGGGCGGAGGGGGGGGGGGCGCCCGGTGGCGGGGGGCGTCCCCAGGCGCAGGCCTAAAAAACCGCGGCGGCGGGGCGATGGAATCCGGCGGCGGCGGCGGCGGCGGCCGCAGCAACATCATCGGCGTTCGCGCGCTCACTCGGCCCCCAACACACGCGCGCACACACGCGCGTGCACGCCACACGTGCACGCGCGCGAGCGGGGCACACGCGCGAGCCGAGCCATTGTCCTGCTGCCCCGTGTCCCTTGAGCTATTTCCACTGCCCCCCGCCCCAAAGCCCCCCCCCCCCCCGCCCCCCACCATCTACCCACTATTGTAACACTCGCGACATTAACAATTCCTTAATTGCACACAAGCACGCACGCACTCACAAAGACCGCATTCTTCCTCGCCGTTGCGTCCAAGATAGACCGCCGCCCGCCACGCACACACAAAAAAAAAAGGCTATGAGCTGTAGCTGCGAGCGCCCTACAAGTCGGACAGGGTAAGCAAATTGACGGCGTGGATTATTGCCGTCGCCGGCTGTCAGTATCGCACGCCCCTGCTACCCAGACACGTTTGTGCTCCGTGACGATTGACGATGTCGACGTTGTTCATGTCGACGATGATGGTGGTGGTCAAACGCCAGCTGGTACTCATTGCGTGTTGTTCCGAGAGGACGGCGAGCGGACCGGCCAGCGGTCGAGACCTTAACGACGGAGGCGTGCGGCCCAAAAATTGAGCGAACGCGTCCACCGCGGAGATCGGAAACGATGAAGTCAGCTCGTGCGCCGGTGCCGGACGGCTCGGGGCGGCCTTCATCCAACAGTGGATTGATCTTGGCTGACAACGACGACGATGGGCGGTGGCCACAATACCAGCCGGCTACTTATTATTTGAGGGCCCGAAGTCAACCGACGGGAGTAGCAGTGGAACAGTACAAAAATAAAACGTTCTATTGTTTTGCAAAAGCACGTGGCCAGAAGTGAACCGTGGCCGCCCTCCGAACCGGCTGAACAGGCAGCAGAGACCGGTCCCTTGCCATGCGAACGTAGAATTACCGCCACCAGCCACAACTACCCGCGTCTCCTGCAGGTGATTCCGCGCAAGGCAACGAGAGAGAGAGAGAGGCGGGGGGGGGTGCACGTTCACTAAACGCCGCAGTCAATAACATACTAATCTGTGCCGGAATGCTGCCACCTTCTATTGGCAGGGGGGGACTCGGGAGAGACTGGGCTGCCTGCCGAGCGTTACGCTGCCAAGAAATCGTGCCAAAACCGCAGAAGAAGTGAGAGTGGTGGGGGGGGTGGGCGGGCGGGCGGGCGGGCGGGCGGGCGGTCTGACTGCTGCCAGCAATCGGCGCAGAAGTGGCAGCCATCCAAAGACTACATGTAAACACGGCGCTACGCACGGTAGCTCTGGCATCCAGCCCGGAGACCTAGTGACACACTTAACGGGAGCGCAGGCGCGCGCCAACGCGCACGCACGCACGCACGCGCGCACGCTCCCATACGAACTCGCGCGCTCAACACGAGTTCACACGAGCACACGGGCACGGCAGAGGTGAACACACGCACGCACGCGCGAGCGAGCGCACGTGGGCCCGAACACACGCACACGAACGCGCGCGAGTACACGCGATTCTGGCATGCAATCACTCGCGCCTACACGCGTGTCTGACCTCATATTTGGCAATGACGATGATGGCGATGATGATGATGATTATTATTATTACCAAAGTGTTTTTGACGTCTGCGTGCTGGGAATGTGCTGCGAAGGCTGTTAACGCTGAAACCTATGTCTCTCTCTCTCTGAAATTCGATGTCACGGAGTACGTTTCGTGCACCCGACGTTCCGTTTGTTCGCTGTTATTTAGATGGCTGCATGCAAATGAGCGCCAAATCACCTGGCATTAATTGATTAAACTAATATATTTTTTTTTTACCAGGTAAGGTCCCACCGAGTTGTGTAGCTCTGTTCTCAGAAGCGACACCGGCTATCACAAATGATGGCTCAACGAAGCAGCTTATCATCATCATCATCGCGTGGAAATTTATAGCAGTAACCAATACCAGGAACACGTGACGTTGATTCTTAATGTGGAGGGGGAAAAACCGGAGGACCCGGAGAAACATCCACGCGACCATGGGGGCAGAGAGAAAGAGACACGCAAACTCCACATATACAGCAGGCGTCAGGGTCAGGATCAAACCCACGATCTCCTGCATACCAGGCGAGGTAGTTAACATCTCGCCATGAAAGTAAGACGCACCCCCCACACCTCCACCCACCCAAAGAGGCAAAGCTACCGGTCATCTTGGAAACAAATGACGGCATTGGTACGGGTGGATCAGGACGCGGGTAAATGTAGGGGAACGTTGCGGCACAGAGTGAGAATCACGGCACCTGCAAACTCCAAATATATACAGGGGCATCGTCAGGGTCGGGATCGAAGCCACAACCTCCTGCATACCAGGCGAGGTAGTTAACATCTCGCTGGGGGGGGGGGGGGACGCCAGTAATTAATTACACGCCGACCTCCGGCAATCAGGACGCGTTTGTGCACTTTCGCAAATTGAATCCCACGAACGAGGGAAGGCCGCACGACGCTGCTTGTACGGCCTGTGGCAGGTTAAGTTTACAAAATAAATATATAAATATATATCTCTTTTTTTCCCGACCAGGGCGATGAACGTTTTCGCCGAGACGCCGAAAACCGGTTTCCGACCGCGACGCAAGTTGCATAACGCTCGGAGGAGCCTCCCCAAAGCCGCTTGTGTAACATGCGCTCATCTGCCCAAGCCTGCGTGCATTTTTGGCAGCTGATGTGCGGTTTGCCTTCATTTAGAAAGAATGTTATATCCTAGCGTTCCTTAAGGCTATGTTAAATTCCTATTGTTATTGAGGTTCCTAAGTTGTAAAAATGGCGGGGGTGGGGGTAAACTACTTAATGAAAGCTATACAACGGGGATCTTGTTCGCGACGGCACTTTGGCTGCGTCTAACTTGATGATGCGAATTCCCGGATTCACAGTTTGCGCGTGGCGTCGTATTTATTTAAAATTACACGCGACGAAAAAATCCGATCGAAGGGGGCAAATGCCATCCGCGCGTTCCCACCTCCTTTAGGTCGAGTCTACCGAGGGGACGGACGCGCCTCGAAAAATGAGGAAGTTTAACTTTTGCAAGTAACACAGCACAACCATTTCTCCCCCTGCCCCCCCCCCCCCCATCCGCTAACCCCGGGGCTCGCTCTGAATGGAAAAGCCGGCGTCCGAAAAAAAAACGGTTGGCTGACCTTGGCCCTCCTCTCTCAGGCGTGCGCATAGGCGCGGGGTCTAACCACACAACAAAAAACCGATTGAACTATTTTTTTTTATTTTAACAGGTAAGAAGGCCCACTTGGGCTGTACAACGTTTTTTCTTTCTCAATCACACGGACAGGTCCGTTCAATCGTTTTCGGTCATTCCCTCGGCGTGTTTTTTTTGTTGTTGCTTGCTTGCTGGCGCGGTGGGTTTGAACCGCGCGGATTCCGAATGAAGGTTTTATTTTTTGGCCGGGTTAGACCGCGCTAATATAAATGCGTCGATGAGCCCCGCCGCCACCCGACGCGGTAAATTTAAGCAAGGTCTGTCACGTGAACGGAGCGCGCCGAGTTCGTCAGCACTCCGGCGCAACACGGCGTGA